TCAGGTCACTCTTCCACTTCCTGACTGCTGCATTCCACACACACACACACAACTTACAGGCAACAGTCTACGCTGCACAGCAGAGAAAGGATCTCACTCAAAATAAAACACCATTAAGTAGCTGGTGGTTGACAAGTTTTAAGGCAGCAGCACAGCTTCAGTCCACAGACTTCCCCAGTGCTCCATGGCTGCTGGGGTGACTGCAACACGTGCCCCATCCCTTTACCAACAATTGGAAAGGCATCAGCAACCCCTAGGAAGGGACAATTCACTTTTCCACAGGGCCTGTGCCAACAGTGATGGTATTGATACRTGTTTGGGCAGGTGTGGTTTGGGGTGGGTCCACACCACCGTGTTGGCAGCAAATTGTGGAGACTAAGCACAGATCCCTGCCAGCCACGAGAGTTCTGCAGAGGAGCTGAGCCCCAAGCAGGCAATGGACAGCAGGAGCCACTTCCAGCACCCAAGCAATGGCCAGTGTGCAGCTGGGACCCAGGCACATCCCTATGGGGAACAGTTCTCAGAAGCCTTGGCCACCCAAAACACAGCAGAAGCCCTCAACACCTCACTGGACTGAATTTTCCTCATCTGAAGCAGTAAAGGATCACAGAACCAGGCAGTGTTAAGGGATTGGAAAGGACCTTAAAGATCATCCAATGTCACCCACCTGCCATGGGCAGGGACAGCTCCCACCATCCCAGACTGCTCAAKGCATTGTCCAGCCTGGCCTTGGGCACTGCCAGGGATCCAGGGGCAGCCACAGCTTCTCTRGGCACCCTGTGCCAGGGCCTGCCCACCCTCCCAGATGGAATTTCCTCCTAATGTCTAACCTAAATTGCCCCTCTTTCAGTTTGTACCCACTCCCCCCGTGTCCTGTCCCTGCAGTCCCTGAGGAATTGTCCCTCTCTGGTTTCCCTGCAGCCCCTGGCAGGAGCTGGGAGGTCTCCACACCCCCTTCTCCTGTCCAGGCTGAGCAGCCCCAGCTCTCCCAGCCTGGCTCCACAGGGGAGGGGCTCCAGTCCCCCCAGMAYCTCCGTGGSCTCCTCTGGACCTGCTCCAACAGCTCCAGCTCCTTCTTATTTTGGGGACACTAGAGCTGTTGACAAAACTTCAGGCAGGCAGTATCAACTGACCAGATGCACCCCTCACCTCAAGTGACATCCTTCCCCTCTCCGAAACAGGCATAAGGACATTTAGAAACAACTGCCCCACTCAGAGCTTACCTGCCTGGGAATTTCTTTAACTCACACCCGACTGGAGACCCAGTCCTCACCAAARCCACATTTTATATGCCATATTTCAAATACATACATGTCTTAATCCCAACAGAAGCTCTTTTGCTTCATGGAGCTTCTACTGTGATTTGGAAATGTGTTATTTGTGAGATTTGGACCTTTCATGACAGTTTTGCTGGCTGACAAAAAGTCATCACACATGTCTTGCTAAGAGAATTTCTGCACTGTAACTGCAGAAATAACCTCTGCCACTTACCAGGATATTATGACCTCGAACATTCCTCCACTTGTTCAAGGGTTCCTTCAAAACCTAGTTAAAAAGAATTACTCCATGTTAAACACATCTTAGATTCAAAATACTTCATGTGAACCCACAAGACTACAACGATTTTTAAGGAATACTTATGCAGGAAATCAGTCTTSAGGATTTGTCTTGGAAAGCTCATCCCCCTTAAAAAAACAGCACTGAATGCTGTAACACAAAAGGTAATAATGAACACTGGTAAAAATAGAGAAAAGTCAATATACAACAGCTTCCTAGCATTCTTAAACACTGATAGATTACCTAATAAACTTGGACAGAATTTCATTATTTGAGTAAAAATCAGTGAGTGTCATATAAGGGGAAGAACAGCTTACCAGAGCACTTAGCATTTCAATGACAAGCCCATCCCCTCACAAATTAATTTTTCAGAGTGTAACACTTGCCAGCAACAGAAGAGGATCAGACTGCTACCACACTCGTTTTCATTTTATTTCTGTGTTCTAACAAACAAAATTATTCAAATTAATCAGAAAAGCTTCTACTCTGAATAGGTAAAATCACCCTGGCTCAAACAGGGTCTAGATCTGCAATGATATTGTAGAGTCAGGCTTAAAAAATCTCATCAGCCTGGGAACTTAACTAGCTCCTTAAAAAACACTGCACTAGATGCAAATTAAAGCTTGCTATCCTTGGGATTAAGAGTTAATTACTGCATAAGGATAACTCCTGTTAAATTGCCAAATAACATCTGTCAAGCCAGCACTTCTGTGAGGACTCCTAGAACTTACCAAATGTGTTGCTGGGTCTGATGGGGAAAGCATTAATATCTGTTGTACACAAAACCAATTGTTCACTGAGGTGATTCTGTTTAAAATCCATCAAGCCTGCCCTTCCCCTCACCTGGCTCTAAGCAACAGGAAATCAAATACCAGATCAGTCTAAGAAATCTCCAGAAACAATTCTAACAGATTTTCCTTTTTCTAAAAAAGCCATCTATTCACTGGGATCCCAGTTACATGACACCAGTATTTTTACATTGTTATTCTTGACTTTGCTTTTACCAGACCCATCTAAGATTTCAGTGACATGAAAAGGCAAACAGGCAAGTCCAAACATGCCCAAGCCTTGTGGACTGCTGTTATTTCACAAAGGTACAAGCTCTGMTCCACAGGTTTTACGGATATTTTGGCATCCAGGACTATATTACATGTGATCTGAATTTCTCTTGTGCAATTTGCCTCTAAAAAGTCGGGGTGATGTTCCACCAAGCCCCTGGCTCGGCACCTGTTGCTCCCTCCTCGTGCACCCAAGGAGAGCACTTCTAAGCTGCTGGATCTGTCTAAGCAGCTGCTCAATGATGGAAATGAGGACAAAGAAATGTGCATCCAGTACCTCAATGCTGGTAGTTTGTGCAAAATAATCCAGGCACGTTGTCTTCCCACTCGCAATGTTCCCCTCAATACAGATCTGGTGAAAAACAGAGTCACTCTGAGATCCACACTGGGGCAGAGCATGTTAAAAATGCACCCTGCCCATTCCAGCAGCACAGCTCCCTGCACTGGGAAGAGGTTATTTCATGGAAAGGCACTGAGGATCCGTTTGGATGCTGTGACTCCCCCAGAACACCACTTCTTCCCTCCCTGGCAAACACAAACCAAGTGTCAGGCAAGGGGCAGCCTTCCCTCCCAGTGCCCCCACAGCCAGCCCTGCCCTGCTTCCAGCTTCCAGCCCCTTCCCAGGATCCCAGTGCCCCCACAGCCAGCCCTGCCCTGCTTCCAGCTTCCAGCCCCTTCCCAGGATCCCAGGAGCTCCACAGGGTCACTGCTGGGCTGCTGCTGCTCCTCACTCTGCCACACCCCACCTCAGAGACTTCAAATAAATGCCAGCTGAAGCCATAATTTCACCATCCATTATACAGATAGATTAAACCACAAGAGGCATCACATTTTTAATTTCAGAAACCTAAACAACCAAAATAAACGAAGAGATTTTTTTTCTCAACTGTCTTAAAGTAATATRTAACCCCAGGAGAGTTGTATAGGGCAATGGCAAGGCTACACATGCAGCATTGACCCCAAACAGCCACCTGTCCTGACATGAGCCCTCACAATTTTATCCCTTACAATTTTTGCACAAATCCTTCACAATTTCCCTTGAATTTACAGAACTAGACTATAGCCTTGCACAGAGTATGACCCAGGGACAGATCCAMCCCACACAGTGACACAGCCATGGCCCACAGCTGCCAATACACACACACTCAAATTATAAYGGAATTATAACAAAGAGGCTGCACATTTTGTTTTCTGAACTAAATGCAAATACTTACAATTCTCTTTCTAGCATCTTTTTTTAGCAGGTGTTTATCTAGAATGGAAATAAGCAATAGTTAAAATCAGGGTGGTTTTCATAACTTGGTTACTACTGAGTCTCTTAACGTGAGACCCTCCACATTTTTAGCTTCACTATGGTTTAACACRGCTATTTCCTAATTACCAACCTTCAAGGTTTTTAGGTTATTAGGCCATGTATCAGACACATCGGGTCACAGACTGAAACACATTTAGCTTAAGTTCACCACTACCCTTGACACTACCAAGAGTCGGACAGTGAGTGCTCACACTTTCACCAGATTTTTGCTACTCCTGATGCTCCTCAGTGGGTTTGCGCTGGGGAAAAGTGAATTTCGGAAAGGCTGGTCAGAACAGCACCCACTGGTCTCACAGACCCGGCAGGATAAGGGTGAAGATTACAGAGCAGCTTCAAAACAAGCAATTCACATACCTTGCACCTCAAAACTGCGGTATAAAACCTGTGGCAAGCTCCGCTGGGTTACAGTGCCCTTCACCCACCAAGCACGGGAGGAAGGCAGGGGAGCTCGGCCATCAGCCCCGATCGGAGATCCAGCCTGCCCCACTCCCCGGAGCGGCTCCCGGGTCTGGCCCCGCTCCCAACCCCCGGAGCCGCTTCAGGGTCTGACCCTGCTGCCCCGGAGCGGCTCAGGGTCTGACCCCGCTTCCCCGGAGCGGCTCAGGGTCTGACCCCGCTCTCGCTCCCCCGGAGCCGCTCCAGCGCATCCCGAGGGGCCGCACGGAGCCCGGGCCGAGCTCAGAGCCGCCCGTCCCGTCCCCACGGTTCTGCCCCGCACTTACGGCCGGCAGCGGCACTGGCAGCGGCACTGGCGCGGGGCCCGCCCGTGGAGGGGCCCAGGACGGCGCTGCCCGTGCCCCGCAGGCCCCGCGCCCAGGCCGCGCCCCGCCGCCACATGTCCCATCCCCGCTGCCGCCCGGCCACGGCCACGGCCACGGCCACAGCCCCGGCCACAGCCCGGACCCGGCTTCGGCCCGCCCCGGCCCTTCCGCCGCCGCGCCATCACTTCCTCCGCCCCGGCGCTCTGAGGCGGGGTCGGGTCAGCGCCGGCGGCGGCCCCGGCATCACCTGCGGCATCGCCCGCGGCATCTCCCCGGCTCTCGGCGCCGTCCCGCGGGCCCGCGGCCGCCATGGCGCGCCTGGAGGTGGACCGGGCCTTCCCCCGCTCGTCGCGGGGCTCGCTGAAGATCGCCCGCGTGGTACGGCCGGGGGGCGACCCGGGGTCCGCGGCAAGGCCCGAGCCGCCGCTGACCCCCGTCCCCTCCTGTCCCGCAGCTGGTGGCGCTGGCCACCCTCCTGTGCTTCGTGGCCTCGGGTTCACACAAGGCCTATGTGGCGCTGGCCGGCATGGARACGGTGCTCACCATCCTCTTCCTGCTGCTCTACCTGCTGAAGCTCGACACGCAGATGCGCTGGCTGTGCTGGACGCTGGCTGTGAGTACCCGTGGGCCCTGAGTACCGGGGTGCCCTGGCTGTGAGTACTG